TTCTAGTGAATAGTCTTAGCACAATATTTTCTCCACAGCATTTAGCATTCTAAATTAATTTTTATACAGTTTTTTTCTTAAGCTGGCAAAAAAAAAACAATTTTTTCTAAAAATATTTTCCGGTAATGATGAGTATCCTAAACTATATTTTGGTGTAATCTTGGTTATGAAGTTTTACGGTGTTAGAATTTTGAGTACGTCTGATTTTAAAAGCAAATTGTTTTAAAAATTAACTTCAGATGATAATTAAGTTCCGTTGACCCATGTTATAGTCGCTAAAAGCATTACTTGAGATTTGAATCGACCTTCTATTATTAGTTTATTACTCTTTTTCAAGGGTAAAGAAGATTTTTTGTTCCCTAAATTAATAATTAATTTTTGAGTAGATTACTATTCCTACTGTGCCATTTTAAAAAAATAATTCATGTTCATTAAAAAAAAGTTGTTAAAAATAGTTACTTCTTATAAAAATTAATTACATTTTTTTTTACCTCAGTTAGTGTTTACTCCCTCCAATTTATAATATAAATTTTATTAGAAGAAAAAAATTTGTTTCAATTACATTTTTTATGCTATCCTTTAGGTTTCTCTTATACTGTTTTTTTCTTGAAGATGAAGAAAATGAAAGTGTTTCCTTCTTTCTTTGGGCTCCAAAATAATTGTTATTTCAGTCTTAATATATAATGAGAAGGAAAGATGTGACACAAGTCTCACTAATTTGATTGGAATCCAAAAGGGCAAAGGTAATGCAATTAAAGATGCTTGAACATTTATTAATGAAAGAAGGTTGTATGCCCTCAATATGTTTCATTTTTCTATTTATTTAATCAAAGATGAGACCAAGTGGCTCAATATGAGTGGGCATGAGATGAAACGTGTTTCAGAGCGCTCATATAATGAATTTGTTGACCAACTTTTTCAAAGAAATATAATTATGAGATTTAAAGAGATTATTAACATAAATTATGGGCAATATTAAGAAGGAATAAAGCTTGTTAATTTCATTAGCGTAGATTAACAAGTCACGATTTCAACCTAAACACTTGATTATTACTCGTGGTTGAATGTGCCTAATCCAGAAGCCATTACATATCAAGATTCAAGAACATGAGGCTAAGCTTTAACTCCTTCGGTTAATTAACCATGCCGACATGGTCTAAAAATATGAGTTGTCATTTTTTTTTTCTGGTGACTAAGGTTTTTTTCCCCACTGGGAATGGGAGAAGTTGGTGGAAGCCTTCAGCGATGGTAAGCTAGAACTCACGGAAGACAAATGTGCTCTGTTCATCCGCAGTGCTCTACTAAAGTCATCATTTTTCTTCTGGAAAAAAGAAAAATCTACTGGTGTCTCTCTTACTGCCACCACATGAAGTTTTCAGCTATTGTGTTTGATCTTATTCTATGGAGAGTGCCCTGTTTTAAACAGAATTTTAGTGGAAGTTTTCAGTTTTTTTTTTTTAATATTGACAACTATATCGATTATACAATCAGTGTAAAAGAGTGAGTTCAACAGCAGCTAAAAAGGTATGATGATCCATTCCCTTCTTCTTCTCTCAATTTTCTTTCTTTACTTTCTCAGTCTCTCCCTTTGTGCTTCTTAACTCTCTCTCTCTCCCCTGTCTTCCAGCCACCTATTAATTTGTTAGAAGGTCTCCATATCTGTGTGTTTGTGTGTAGCTTTAATTAAAGCAAAGCTCCGTGTATATATCTGTGTGGCTTCTGACTTTTTCTAGAGGATTTTCAGTTTATTTTACGTCATACCTCCGGATGATTTTGGCCGCTAGCAGCCAGGGATATACGACTAACCCGACCCGGCAGCGATGTTACCCTTTTGCTTTTGGCCGATAACGAACAAAAATCGATGTTCTCCTCTGTCCACAATGATACAGAGGATCCGGCGGTGGGGAAAAAAAAACAAGAAGAGTTTTTCCCTGTCCAGATTTGAAGAGAAAAGTGGAAGGACAGAAAAATACAGGAGAAATAGGGTATAAGGCCTATCTAATTTTTTCTGACTTTTTTTCTCCACATATGGAGAGAAAAACTCACATCCCTTATATGTCCTCCTCCAAAATAGTCTAGTAATATCCCATTCCTATGTTTGATGCAAAATTTTCTTTTTATTTTTATTTATGGCTACTTCATAACTCAGCAAATTAATATTAATAAATCATCTCACTGTATTATGGCCAAATTCAAAACCAGCACGCAAACTCCATTATTAATATGTACATGTTCATATATTTCAAATTTTATTTTAAATTCTGATTATTAATATATAATTTATTTATTATTAATATATAAGTCATGACATAGATGATGAGTGATATTATTTCTTCACAATCATCCCTCAATTTTTTTTAACTTGTTTCCACTGAGGATTATAAAGCATTTGGATTCATGCTTTGTAAGTTCAATAAACAGAACATTTATGTTTCTAGCTTTAGTAACTTTTCAAAAACTCTCAAGACTATTACAAACACATGATATATATAAATTTTCAAAGATTGTCCAATATATCAGCAACTTGCAAAAAGACAGACCAAATTAAAAATTATCTTTTTTAATTAATTTTATCCTAAGATAATCATGATGCAAAATAAAACTAACTTTTTAACTATCAGTTGTTTGATACATACATATTTAACTTAAAACTGAAAATTGAATCATTCAAGATTTGGGTGATTTAAATTAAAATAGTTCATTTAGATTAAAAGCATGTTCAATAACATCAATTCAGAATAATATCGAAAGCACCTACAAATTAAGTGTTTAACGCACTATTATTCTGTGGTTTGAAAGTACTCCTCCGATCCTAAATATAAGACCCTTATATACACTAGTATAAGGGTATTATATTTAGGACCGGAGGAGTATTATTACTCTTTTATAGTCTGAAAGTTTAGATAATTAAGTTAGATTTTAATGAATAATATAAGTTAAAAATAATCTGATTCCTTTCACTGGTATATATTTCCCAAAATAGACAATTCATCAAATTCAGTAGTAAATTTCAATTAATATAGATACAATGTAATACGCAAACATTAACATCTAACAGATTTCACTTTTGATTTTCTAATAAAATTTTGATTCAATCCAAATAAAATGGAGTGTCCTCAAATCAAAATTTACCATTGACATTGATTTTAGGAATTCAAGGGAAGCAATAAACGACTGAGTATTGACAAAAGTGACTTGCAGAGAAATGTGAATATCAAATATATATATACATTTTTATATATGGGTTAAATAAAGGTTATTTTTGCCCAAAAAGTATCGTTGCGGCCTTGCAGGTACATATATTTGCTCAAAATTGGTCACATGTGTATTTTTCTCTCCAAATTAATTACTCTAATTTTGTTCTGTTAATACCGTTAGTTTCTGTATAGGGGCTAGCGGTACTAACAAAACAAAGTTACGAAGATTAATAGTGTTAACGAACTAAAACTTAAGTGTTTTAATTAAGAGAAAAAACACACAGATACTAAATTAAAAATTAAGATAAACAATAGATACCTATAAAATGGTTTTTTCTGAAAATATTTGCGAGGAGCTTTAAGCATCCAAGAGTTTGTTTTATCTCAATGTCATATTGGAATTGTTAAAAAATAACAAAGTCACTCCTAACCGTTAGAAAAATTTAAAAAAAAAAAAAACTAAAGTTGATTGCTAATATTTTTCAATAGTTAGAACAGTATTGCTCTTTTGAAAATACTTTCAGAGTGATACTAAACTAAACTACTTTCAAATACGCATAATTCCTTGTTGGATATATGCCACGAGGGCAAAAATCACCATTAGCCCTCTCTACATATAACAACTGTAAGCTTATCGTAGAACAGAGAAAATACAGATATTTAACCTTATATAATTGAACTACTTGTTTCCAATAAATAAATATAAATGGATTTAAGAATTAAAAAATAAAAGTATTAATACCAAAAGTTAGTTAGAGGGTGAATCATATATTTGTGTGGAATTCAGAGGCAAGAACGAAGAAAAATCATATTTTTACCTCTTTTTTTTAACCTATATTTCCCAAAACATCGTAAGACGTCATATAAAATTTAGTCCAGTATTATTACAATGTTCAAAGTATTTATTTTTCACTATCATCTTGATTGCCAAAAGAATGCTAAAACAAATTTGTCATCATAGAATCCAAGAACAACGAAAAAAGATCACATTTACACATTATTTTAATTATGTTCTCTTGTTAAAAGAAATACAATTTATCGTCATGTAAAATAAATAACTTATATCCTGTTATTTACCTGTAATATGAATTGACTTAATTTTGATGATTATTAAGGCAGAACAAGAATTAATGGAAAGGAAAACAGAAGGATGATGATTAAAACTGCTTCTGAAAAAGTTAAAGAAGAAAAGAAACAAGAGTGTGAAACTATGAGGCTTTAAATAAATAAACAAAATTAAAACAAAAAGGAAAAGAAATTATTCTTTACTTGAATTTATATGTAATATAACTTTATACTTTGGAAAAAAAACAAACAAAGGAAACATTATGATTTCTCGTTTGAAATCTGCTCAGACATTTCCTCATTCCTAGGCCGCGACTGTAAGTGAAAATAACATGAGATAAATAAAAGCTAAAATACCTCATTATATTTAAAACCAAAAAATATTCACTAATGTCTTGTGTTAAAGTTATTTTTCATCATATTTCAACATTAAATTTTTTCTTGTAATAATAATATTTATGTAACAGAAAGATAAACTCCCAACAATATGATATGAGAGGAAAAACTGCAATGCATCTCTCGTCTCTCATATTATAAATATAAAATCAAGTAAAAAGTATTCATTTTTCTGTTTTTTTGCCAATTAATATAAAATCTAAATAATAACATCAAAATCAATAATGTGTTACTTCTAATATTCTCATGCTACTTAAAAGAAATGGAATAAAACGAGATGTTTCATTAAAAAGAAAAAGAGTTAAAGGAGATATAAAATAAAGAAATGATAATCTGATAATTACCTGGAAAAGGATCCGGTGATAATATTGATATCTTTTGAGCCAAAAACCAATGCAGAAGGATAATAACTGAAACTATTTAATTATGAGAGTACAAGAAAATCAGGAATTCTCAAGTTAATTATAGTATACTAGAAGAAATTATAGACAACAATGTAAATTAATCATTAATCAATACCTTTAAAAATAATACTTATCCAGTTCTAAATATAATATCTATTTTGTAGCGCATATTACACTACAAAATAGGTCTTATATTTGAAATCAGAGGAGTATAACAAAATGGACAATTTTTTTCTTAAACAAGACTTAAAGTATTTCCGATTTTCGTTCTCGGACAATACTTACATCAAATTCCTTTATATTTATTATGTCAAATTTTCTGATAATACAAAGTCATCTGTCTTATTTTTAATATATTATCATTTAATTATAAACTCACATGAAAAAAAAATATAATACACGACTCTATATGATTGAAGAACACTTAATCTAAGTATTTTCCTTCTCAAAATTGTATAACTTAGCTCCAAATTATAGAAGTCGTTTAAGTGGAAAAGTCCTTGTGTATTTATGTACATGAATTTTCATTGTATAATCATAAGCTTAGCAGACAACAAAATAAAATACAACTGAAATAAAATAAAAAGAATTATAAAATATTTGCTCAGTTAATTACCTCAAACTCTGCAATCAAATTAGACAGGAAAAGAAACTAAATGACCCTGGAATCAGATTTTGTGATGCCCACCTTCAAGAGAGAAACAAACGGTGATTCATTTAATTAAGCCTATGATATTATCCATCTTAAATTTTAAAGAGTCTGAATTCTACAAATATTTATTGTTGTAAATTTATTGTGAAATTCAAAAGAAAGATGCAAAAATTGTAATTTTTATAATGCTCTTTCACCAAACTCTATAAAAATTTGGGATAATTACTCATAGGTACCAAGTAAGAAAACTAAATACAGATAGATGCCAAAAATATCATAGTTACAAATTAAACTTGTAAATTTACAAGTCAAATTGTGCCATTTACACATCAAATTTAACAATTTATTTTTGCATGTCAAATTACCATATTTACAAGTCGATTTGGGTCATTTACAATAATGTCAAACTTTTGAAAAAGTAGAATTCCTTCTGACTTGCCATATTTTATGGCTTGTTTGATTCTATTAATGTATTTTTATATTATCAGCACAATTCTGTGGAATAATTTTTTAAACAAAAAACTAGAGAAAAAAGTCTGTTTGAATCATTATTTTAAAATTTTAAAATCATATAATGGTAAAGTGAAAGGTAAATGGAATATTTTGCTTTAAGTATTAGCGTGATTGTTATTACAATGTTCTTTGCCTCTTTAATTTTGTAGGAAAAAAGTAAGAAAATATTAATAAGATGTTCTGATTTCTTTGTTTTCAGAACAAATTTCCGAACAAATAAGTGAACATATATTTTCAAACATGGTTTTTTTAATTGCTTTTGTTTTCCAAAACAAAAAAAATGTTTTTAAAAAATTAAAAATGCAAGCAGGCCCTTAACCATTGACTGCCAAAGGAAAAAAAGATCAAATGTAAATTTAGAACATGGCTACACGTAAATTAAATTCATATTATTCTTTTTTTTTTCATTATCATCTCAATAGCCAACCATATGCTGCGGGGGAAAAAAACAAGAAGATCAAATGTTCCCTTGTGAAAGGCAATGTAATTTATCAACATGCATAAAAAATTAAACAACTTCTGTTAGCTAGTTCTGTTATTTAATTTACCTTTAATATGAATCGATGATCATCAGCACAAAGATGATGATTTGATCTTCTTCTGAAAATGCACTAAAAGAAACAAAAGTGCAAACGAAGAGGCATTAAATAAATAGGTAATATTTAAGTCCACTATAAAGAAATTATCTTTAAGAATCAATAAAACCAACGTATCTCCAAGATAGCTAATATTTAATTACCTGTAAGATATATAGATGAGCTTGATGATATCTCAGGACTCCGAACAGTACTAACTTACGGTTTTTGCAAATTTCACGGAGGCAACAAAATAGCACAAAACAAGAACAAACAAGAGATGAATGTGAATGAATAGATGAAGAAAGATTAAACTCATTGAGAGATAATAAAGGCATGATAAGAATTTGTTCTTTACTTGAGCTCTTGAATGATATGGAGATACTAATTCCAAAGTTAAAGTAAGCTTCACATTCATTTCTTAATTTGAAAGTTATTCAATGCATTTTCATTGCTTGAGCTTTGTTGCATTGCATGTTGCTTTCATCTGCTTCTATTCTATGCGTTGTTCCTTTTTTTCTTCCCTCTCCCCCTAAGCATAGATATACTCCTATTAGAGGTAATCTTATTTAAGGCACTATCGTGCATTAAGTATAAGCATCTCTTCTAGCAAAAATTTGAACCTAATTCATCACGTTACTACGAATTAGTCCCATATGCTTATCTATTTTTTTCACTCATTCTCTCTCCCCTCACCCTGTGGATAAGTAAAGATGTTTAAGAAAATTGAGATACATTTTTTACAAGTTTATTTTCCTCAACAAATTTTAACCAACTTTTTGAATTATGCAATTTAGTTATTTAAAGCTTCTATTTTGAGCCGGATGAAGTAAATGCATAAGAAAGTACTATCCCTAGTCTATAATACAAATTATACTTCATATTACGAATTGTGTTATAAATTAGATCTTATATTAAAGACAGGAGGTAGGACAATACTTATACCAAGTTATTTATTCACTAGTATTTAATAATAAATTCACATGAAATAAAAATAACATATGACTATATATGATTGAAGAACTTTAACCTAAGTTTTTTTTCCATGGGATAATAGTGTAATATTGTATTTATTATGTGAATTTCTTTTTGTTTTTTTTTTTTTGGGGTTGTGCTTGGAGCCTATGGAGAAGATTTTAGGAGTATGTAATAAATCTTGAATCTCAAATCTCATTTATTACCTATTTTAGATAGTTTGATGGCTCTAAAGTGAGCCCTTCATGGCCTGACCTCTATCATATAATTTGAATATCAGTCTAGAAAGATCTTGACCAGTTTGGCACATGAAAACTCGAACTTGTCCAATATAACTTTATGATAATTGTAAATCTCAATAAGGCCGGTCATATATGATATATTAAAGAAATAAAAATAAAAATAAAAATGTCAAATAATTGTCTGACGAAAAATTAATGTGTCATTCCTCCTTAATTCAAATCCCAACACAACATTTTTTTAATTGGTTTTTAGAGTTTGTTCAAATACACAAGTGTGTTGAAAATAAAATAAGAAACCCATACAACTATTAATTACCTTGAATATATATCTTGTATACAATCTAAAAAGTTGTCAAGTCATGAATCTAAACTAAAATATAGTTTCTATATATCAGCAAATCTGAGATTCCCAGATGAATGAATTAAATAATTAAATAAAATGTGCAAGAATATGTACAGAAAAATATATACTGTAAAAAATTCAGAATGTCATGAAATAAAAAGGTTGGTAAAGAAGGAGCATTTTACCACAGATTGAAGGGCTAAGCAGATTTCAAACATATTGCCACCAAACTAAAGCAAGATTTTGGTTGAGAAACATGACATTGCGACCTTCATTTGCCTGTGTTGGAAAATTTCAAGCAATTGCTGCCTCCACCTTTACATAAGCATTACTCTGAAACAAAGTATATTTCACGCAAGAAAATTTCCAGCAGTTGTTTAGTATATGGAATTGATTTTACAATCTGAAGAAATGAGTCAAATGACTCAAACTTATGATTATAATTTAAAAAAAATGATGTCTTTTAAAAGTGAATAAATTGGAGGAATGATCATTAATGATGAATGGGACGAAGAGATTTTAAATAAAAGTTGAACCATCCATATCATCTAAATCTCTGACAGAAACAAAATCCATATCACCAAAATACTAATACTGTACATATCATTAATGATTTGCTTTTTCACAAAGTACAGGAGGGAGAAGCATATAACTCAAACTGGAAACATAAGTATCCAGACTCACCACCAATGAATTACTCCCATGAGAAAAGCTGCCCAGAATAGAATCAAAAATTGAAGAACAAAAACTTTGAAGAACCAAGAAAAAAACATGCTCTGGAGCGTGCATTCTTGGTTAAACTCGAAAGATCCATTTTATTGGGATTCAGGATAGAAGATTGATTGTAATGAGGGAGAAAGTTAGTCAAAGAAAGCTTGATACAAGGACTTGTCTAGCTTTAAAGGTGCCTTCTTTATCTGCATCGTTGGTTCCTCCCCACCCTCGCCTCGCATGATAGCTATTTGCCCGTTCATTTCTAAAACTGATAAAGCCAGCTCCCCACTCGGGTCCTCACCTAACCGTTAAAACCAAGACTAGAATCATCTAAAAAAATAATAAGACCAAAATCATTCACCTTCAACCAAGATGAAAGATACGGTTCACAAAGCAACAAAAAGGAAATCTGAATCAAAGACAAAAATGAAGAACATAACTTTTCCCACTTGCCTGGGTGAGATTCGATGGCAGAGGAGGGGGTTAAAGTGCTCAAAAACCTGAGATGGAACGCCCCAGAGGGTATTCAAAATTTGAAAACCCTTGGATTAGAGAGATGAGAATGTAGGGGAGAGAAGTTTGATCACAACCTTCTGGAATCTTTCTTTCGGGTTTGATGCTTGAAGGAGGGGAGACATTTGCTCAGTCAAATGATTTTGAATTTTGAATTTGAATGGAACTGTCTCTCTAGGGACCGACCCAAAACGGAAATAGATTCTCTCTTGTCTCTAGAGTTGTTGGCCTCTTCTTCATTTGCATGTCTCTGCAACTGCGATTTAGCCTTCTACAGTTCTGCATCACTGCGACTCTGAATGCTGCTTCACTCTCTTGTCTCCTTCCTATCTCCCATCTGCTTGGCTTCCCGCTGAACACACTCGAAAAGCGCTCTTGGCTTTGTTTGGTTGGGGTTTTTTGGAGGGGAGGGGAGAGGATGTGTTTGGTTGGGGGGAAGGGAGGTTAGAAGAGGGGAGCTAAAAAAATTTGTCCTTTTGTGCTCCCTTCCCCTCCCCTCCTCGCCTCCCAAATTGAGGGTTTTTGGAGGGGAGAAAAATATTATGAGAATCTTGACAAATATGTCCATGCTATTTTTTGAATATTCCAGTGGTGCCTTTTTGATTTGTTTTTGGTTTCGCATGATTACCTTCACATTCCCTTTCGCAGTCGCTCAATTATATACACACACACAAATATAATATGCATATATGTTAATATATTAATTAATTATATATATTAATATATATTATAATTATAAAATGACACTATTAATATCATATATTTTTTATTTCCTAATATGTGGAGGGTATTATTATATAGTTAAGGTCTTGTCTTTTTCTCTCCCATTCACTTTTCTCATATATATTATACTTTTATTTCATAATTTTTTTTATCACATATAAGTGAGGTAATTGGTTTTTTTGAAATTGATAAATTAGGAAATAATAATTTTGATATAAATATTATAATAAAAGAATAAATCAATATAAATATAAAGATAAGAGCATATTTGTCAATTTATAATCCCCTTCCCTCCCCTCCCCTTGTGAACCAAATAAGAAATCTCCCCTCCCTTCCAACCAAACAAAACCCATGACCTCCCCTCCCCTCCCCTCCCCTCCCCTCCCCTTAATAACCTCCCCTTCCCTCCCTCCATTGAACCAAACATAAGCCTTTAGTCTAAGCGAACCTTTTTTATTTATGTTTTTACTCATACAATCTCTTCTCTCCTCCCCACCTCCTTTCCTTATTTTGGGTGTTGTGTATTTTTTTAAAAATTTATTACACTTGAATTTTATAATTTATATTAACAATATTCTGAAAAGTTAATTATAAAAATTTCATAAGATTATAGGGAATAATAAGTGATCGTGCTAAGATTTTTTTTAAGAAAAACTTATAAGGATATGAAATAATTGAAACAATAATCTTCAACAACTTAAAAAAATAATTTTTCCAATGTTTTTTCACTATTTAAAAAAGGCAAGAAAGAAAAAATATCTTATTTTCATTCGTAGTTATTACCTTGTATTTAAAATAAAAAAGTTACAAATTAAAATTTTTATAAGATTATAGTGAATAATAAAAGATGGTGCTAAATTTCGGTTTTTAAAAGATATGAAATAATTCGAAAAATAATCTTCAACAACCTTATAAAAAATGCTGGTGAAAAAAAAAAACCTTATAAAAACATAATTTTTCCAGTCTTTCATTCCTGTGTATCTAAAAAAGATAAGAAAGAGAAATATCTAGTTTTCAACGATAATTCTTGTAATGTATTTAAAATAAAGAAAAGCAAGTTACAAAGCAAAAATTTTACAAGTTTACGGTGAATAATAAAAATTTCTGCTAAAATTTTGTTTTCAAAAGGAACTTCAAAGGATATGGAATAATCTAAAAAGTAATCTTCAACAACCTTTAAAGCAAGTTATAATGTCTTTTTTGACCATCATAAAACAATGTTGCACGCAGCCACTTAACGGAGTATAATATTGCATGAGAGAGAGATCTAGAGAGAGGCGGACATCATTTTTTAGTGGGACATGTGAACACATCTAGACGTGGCTTTAATCCAAATGATTGATAAAAATGAACATCTCATTTGGAATTTACAAGAATGGAGAAACCTAGTTCTACTTCCATTTTTAATATAATACCTTCCCACCAAAATTATCAATATAATTATGAGCTTAAAATTAACACTTAAGCTAAGTAGCATTTCTCTTCATTTAGAGACTCATTATTTATAAACCATGAA